AAAACCGATGTCAACACCGTGATAGATGTTCAGGTCCCCGATGACAACGATTAGGTGGCACGTTAAGAAATATTGCGTGAGCGTTTCAAATAACGAGCTTTTTAAGGCAGAAAACAACACTTATCGTTTCTATAATGTAAGGGACCATGTCTCAGTTGAACAGGAATTTGGACTTAAGAATGGGTGAACTATCAGATATCTGACTGGTGGGAGGTGAGCTGCAGGCGGGCGTACCATAAACAATTTGCTTTTTCTGATTGAAATTTGAAGAATCTGTCAGATCACGTTCAATGCTCAACGTTTCACGTACAGAATAGTGGTCATTGATAACGCCCATGAATAAGATACAGTGGTTGAGTATCTCCGCCCTCATGAAAAGCATGGACTGCTCCTTTTAGTAGTCGTTTTCTGCGAAACGCTTATTGTTATTTGATGTGTACCACTATTTCAATGAAAGTGCTCTGCTTTTCCTAGCTTTTATTGCAGTCGGAATGGAAAAGAAATTCACACTCTCGCCTTTAGTTCGCGACCATCCAATCAGCTTCAGAAAGCAATTAAAGGCATTGGCACGATAATTTGGTACTCTGCCCAAAATGGTAGCAGGGGTGCTAAATAGTGGGGAAAATGGCGAAAAAACGAAGTGAAACCATCAAAAACCTGCGAAGAAAAGCCTTCGTTCTTAATGACTCGAAAAGCAATTTCGGACGAGTTTTCCGTGGCATCTTGCCAATAACCGCTACGGTAGGTACGGCTGCACGTGTGTACTCATATATCCATGCAGCACCGCAGCCGCTTCATACCAATCTTCATATTTTACTTCGCAAATGAAGCAATACGAGCATCAGGTACGGTCGTCCATTTGTGGGCGGGCGGGCGTGGTGGGCGTTTGGGTCGGTATGTTGTAGCTTGATAGGGCCTTATAAGGGTACCTTAAATTGGGAAGCGCTACGCAGCGCCTGCTCAGGGTCGCGGAATTCCGTCTTGCCAGGCGTTTCGAGTCTTCAAATTACAGCCATTCCAAAGACCAAACCACTCACCTGAGCATCTGGGCTGCGTCCTATTATTCGATGTGCGTGTATCGAAAGCGGTGAGACCGGTGTTAGCAGATACACAGAAGCAGCCAGCACCATCACATTGGATCATTTCGTAATAGCCTGAACTACTGTAAAAAAAGTGAACAAGAAACAAGGCAGAAGCAGTGGAAAATGACATCTATGAATGATCAGGTTATTACGAAAAGATC